AATAAGAAATCAAATGTAGTAGTTTTCTTTAAAAAGACAATTGTCAGCTAGTAGGAACTGAACTGCCAGAAGGTATTTTATACTAATGATTGGAGTCAGAGTCACTATGTATATAAATTATTTTAATAATGGTTGGAGAAAAGAAAAATAACGTGGATACCATATTAGTACTAAACAATTCAGTAGCTTCATTAAAAAATTGCTTCTGTATTAAACAACAGTGGCTTCATCCAGCCAAGTACAATTTTTTTTTTTAACTTTTGCTGTGAGTCTCCTTTTAAGATACTAAGCCATAAAAGTATTATTTCAGGGAAAAAAAAACACAATGTTTTAAAACTTCCTTTACTTAGATCTCCATTTCTAATTACATTTTTACATCTACATTCTGTGTGGGTCCATATGATTTCAAGAGCATGTTAACTCAAGTTCATGGAGGCAAAAAATTAAATTCTAAAAAAACCCAAGGAAGATGCACAACACATGTATGTAATCAGAAGGCAGCAAAAAATTGAAGGTGTCTAATCTTTAACAACTATTTTGAATTTTGACCCTTTTGTTACATTGATACTTGGATTAAAAATGAAGTACGCTGGTTACTTATCATACACAGTACTCACAAAATTGACTTCTTTTGGTCCAGAACTACTTAAAAGTATTCAAGGCCAGAATATGAAAAACCTGTGTAGCCAATATTAAATTTTAGAGGTATTACATATGGAAATTTACAACATGGCTTTTTAAGTATGAATTTCAGAGTAAAAAAATTCTTAACAGATTTGGTTTTAAAGTAAAAAGACAGCTAATAAAATCAGTTATCAAGCAAAGTGATAGGAAAACTTTTTTAAAATACATGAAATAAAAGACTTAAATAATCTAAAAAAAGCAAAATATATTTGAAATAAAATGATTATGTAATAGACTGAATGAGAGGATAAATAAAACAATAGGAAGGACTATTTCTACTTAGAGTTTATATACTGTAAGACAACTAAAGTGTGTAAAACATGTTGAAGTTCACGAATCTCTTTATAGGATGAGTAATCAATACACTTCCCTAATACTCATCCTGTGACCTACGACATGATAGTAAATTAGAGATCACAAAGATGAAGCCATTAATGTTTTTGTCGATATGCATTTTGACCTGCATGACAGACTAAATCAAATGTTCATGATTATTAGTTTTCTTTCTTTGACTTGAAAGCTCCAAGTTATTTAATAATGTATTTTTAACATGTGCTTTTTCCTTTTAATGCTTACTCTAACAATATGCTAGAGGTCTGGACAGTGACCAGATCCTAGAGATCTGGAAAGTGAAAAAGCCATTACCACCTGCTGACCACTGACCACTGGCATAGATATTTAGTGGTTTATTTTTTTTTTCTCTTTTAAGCAGTTATTAATATTCCAGAAATTTCAGGTGCCCTGTTATTGTATGAAACAATTACCCTTGAATTTATCAAGGGGAAAAAAAACTTAGACATCTGGTTATGTTATAAACCCAGAGTTGTTTGTTTAGGAAACATGAATATATGGAAGACTATTAATTTTAATTTATTTTATATTAAGATATGTGAAAGTAAAATAAAGCTTTTGTTTGTTTTTAAACGTTAAAGACTTGGTTGGTTTTGATCTGCATTAAATCTTACTTTTTTTTTTATCAAAAGAAAAGATTACGTGCTTCCTGGAAATTGTTTTAAGATTATACTTTAAATCAAACCTTGACAAAACAAAAGTTAATTTTAAAATTACCTTTTAAAGCTTTTGTTTTTTGGTCAAAAAGTCTGAATCTCCTGAAATTGACTAAGATTAAACATTTAGTTTTATAAATGATAGTTGTAAAACATACTATAGTTAAGAGGATAATAAAACATTAGAATCAAACTTTATAAGCATTCCCCACACCTGTGTCATTGGAAAAGTCATCAGTGGCTGACTTTAATCAATGTCATCAGATTTTAAATACTGATAAATCAATACAATTTGATATATGTCTCATTAAGTTTTACAGAATCAAATACCACAAAACAAATGCCACTTAAAACTTGGAAGTCTAACCACAAAATAACATTTCCTTTAGAATTGAATTTTTTTGCTGTAAATCTCTAAAAGTTGAAAGATGAAGTTAAATTTTTCTATCACTTGTAAATCTGTGATATGTAAAATTAATAACAAGGATTTAATTGTTGTGGACTACCAACACCAGCTGTTAAAAATAAAATCCCAAGGGTAATGTTTATAGGCTTAGTATTACAGTTAAAATTTATGAAAATGGAGGGATGGTTGTTAAATCTATTTTGGGTTAGTTGATCTTAAACATAATTTTTCAAAACAGTTGAAGATGTGCTAATTTAGATAAAATATTTTCACACTATCACTTTATGATATTGATAATTGATTTTCCAAATTCACTTTAAAGACTTCTAGCTAAGAAATATAATCATAAATCTACCAAAAACTGACCCCCCCCCCGAAGTCTAAGAAATCTGTATTTCTTAAGTTTAATTTTTGCCTTTTTAAAATTGAGACGATCTGTTATTCCAATAGCCTAATTCTTTGGTATGCTATTTGTAGTTATTTTAAAACTTAAGTATTCTGTACATAGCTAAGGAATTAAAACATTGCAAACTTTCATTATATTATTTAACAGCTTTTGTTTTTAAAATCACTATGATTGGTTATTAGGAGTTGATTTCTCAACCAGGTAACTTACATTTTTCCATAGAGTTGAAGTGTATTATTCTATTAATTATCCTAGATATTTGCTACATATTTAGTTCTTATCTGCATACTACTACAGGAAAATATCCTATTTTGCTATGTATTTTTTTTTAAAAGATCTTTAATTGTCTAGCACTTCATACTTCATATAGATTAAAATTAAACTGAGCCCATACCATCTACCCAAAACTAGATTAAGTAGAACATTTTCTCTTTTATTACTGTATTCAATAAACAACTAATTATAAGGTTAAGGGCTTTAAGAAACGTATACACATTATTTTTGGATATATTTAACTTATAAAGTGAAGTGGTACATAACTACAGGAACTGGAATATAATTCTGATTAAAACAGAACTATATAAGCTAGTAAGGAACTGAAAATGTTAGGATGTACTAGACAGTTCAGCTGCAGAAAGGGTTGTTCTTACGTATTCCCAATTACTTTTAGAGGTACAGCTCCTAACAAAGTGGGTGGAGAGTTTCTTAAGAGAAAGCAATAAACTCCTTCCATGTACTTTATTCCCTTTCATAACTCTGATGCTGTTGCTGAAGTGAACCTATATATACCAACATAGAAATGAAAAGTAACAATATAACAAATGTTTCATCATTGTTAATGGATATGATTATTTCATTAGTTTGAAGACAAAAAATACATTGGGTCTATATGATTTTTTTAATGCAAAATCCTTCCCCTGAAAGGATGAATAAAAATCCCTGCAAAATGCACTGGTCTGTACTCTCCTTTCAGTGCAGACTACATTGTAAAAACAAAATCTCTCTTAGAGAACTAGTTGTGAGTAGTGACTATCCCTAAAGATATTGAGCTCTCAATTTTTACTACTTAAGGAAAGTCAATGTTAATTCTTAATATAAAGATGTAGTTTTGGGGAAAACTGAGCTTCTCAAAATTTTAGCATAGGTCAATCTAGTTGATTGGCATTAAGAATACAAGTGCCCATGCATTCTCTGTTTCTTTTCTTTGTAGGTTGAACAGTCTGCCTCCCATACTGAAAGTTTCAAGCTTTTGGACAGAACTGAACAGTGTGAACAAGTCTGGTGATGAAGCTCGGACTAAATTCTTAAAGTATCTTAGTTTCACAGTCTCTCATCCCATATAACTTATATATGAAGCACCAAAACTGGAGCCAAGGTCTGAACAGGTTATATAACAGCAAGAACTATAATTTAATCACATCATATCAGATTACACTATGTAACATTCTGTATTTTGCCTGTTGATATGTAACAGTTTATTACAAGCATTATTTCCTAAGACTTATGTGGTATAAGTGCTTCTTTCAAGTATTACCGCTTATAGTGTTTGTATGTTAACAGTGAGTCACTGATAAATGTATATAATGCAGTATACACTGTGCCGTGTCTCCCTACCCTGTGTTAACACGTTAACAAAATGAACTAAGAAAACAAGAACTATTAAAACTAAAGACAAAGGCTATCAACATCACAGATGCACGTCTAAGTCAACAGCATATCCCCCTTAACATGAAGGTATTTTCATCAAAAATGCTTCATCGTTTTTAGGCTAGCATTACTTCAGCAGCAGCTGGTCTTCAGGACAAGTAGATCAGAAGTTTCAAGTGCAAAAGACACTGAATTACTCTGAGAAACATCCATCCACATGACTAATGAAACGCAAACTGCTGGTGTCACCTTAACATAAAATTGTGCACTTTCCCCTTCAGTGTGTGTTTTAGTTCATTTTATATGATGATAAAGTTTTGGAGTTCTCATGGCACACAACTGAGATGGAGTAGCTTGTCAAGGAACCTATTTGTTTTAATGTTTAAATTGTAACAACACAGTGACTACAAAAGGTCAGTGCCTGGTGGCTTTAAACCACATCAGTTTCAATGTTTTTAAAAACAATGATGCAATTAAATCTATGCTTCTGCAACAATAGTGCAATACAGTATCCTTTCCTGAATAAAGGAGCTGAGGTTTATCCAAGTAGAAGCTTTAAATAAGGTAGATTGTTGCCAACTACTTATCAGTCTTGCAGGTTTGACATAAAATAGATTAGGAAAGCTTAAACTGACTTGTTAATCTATATTCAGCTAAAGCTTCACATAAGCAGCAATGGAAATGAACATAGGTGCACTCAATATAAAACACTTTTCAAAACTACTCCAAAAAACAAATGACAAAGTGGTTAAGAGCAACTAAACATCTGTTGTGTGTACCAGATGTAAAAGAAGAAGAATGGACTCTGGTTACTTGCACTATTTGAATTACGTGAAGATAAAGTTAAGACTTAGTCCACTTCCATCTCTGCAGATTTAGTATGCTGTGAGTTGTCTTTTGTTGAATCTGGTTTGGTTTCAGTCCCACTCTGTCCATCCATTGGTCCGTTGTGCTCACTGTTATCTTTTGCGTTGTCTTCAGCAACCTCTACTTTCGGTTTGGGCTTATAAATGATGGGGTTACAGAAATTATCCAGTTCCTAAAGACATGAAGAAAATTGATTATATTAAAACCATAATGTAACAAGTTACCACTAACTTTCTGAAGTCCACATATACTTTCTAAATTTCCACATAATTCCACATTGCTGAATAGCTGTTAGCTCAGCGAGATAACCAACTCTTTTTTTTTTTTCAACTAATTCTTAAAATACCTTAATGAATTATTTACCTTCTTGGCTAGTGTATGTCAGTGGTTTAGGAAACTATTCAGTCTTTAATATAATAATACATTCTGTATTTAATTGTTACTAAATTTCTTCCTCATAATTTATTTTGGCAGGAATAATCTTTATATATTTATTTATTTTGGCCATGACACATGGCATTCAGAACCCCTCCAACTCGGGTCCTTGGCAGTGAGAGCATAGTTGTAACCACTGGAATGCCAGGGAATTCCTAGGAATAATTTTTAATTCATTCCTTTAAATTATGTCTAAAGCTCTTTTATGAGAATTATGTCACATAGCACCTATTTCATAATTTAAAATTTCTCAGAATTGCCTGAAAACTATTTTAATAAATGGAATTAGATAAATGTATACACTAACTTTACTTTTGGAAAATTAGCTTTTTTTGTCAAAGGAAAAATAAGCCATGGAAGTAAATTCAACTTAATAATAATTTCAAAGATACTATTTTCTATATCCTTGGTTTTTCTGCACAGAAATAAAAGACCATTTCAATAATGCTACTGAAACACTTTAAATTCTTTCAAGACCAGTGTCACAGAAATTGGGTGGGATGGGAAAATAGGAGGTAACATCCTGGGGGAATGTTTTAGTGGCAAACTGTTCTTGTCACACTCTGCCTCTCACCTGATTAGGAGTAAATTATAATAGATTCTTTGTAAAACTTTCTCAAAAAGGAAAATACTCTTAACTGCTTTATTATTTAAAAAAAAAAATACCAGTTTGGCACAAAAAGTTGCTCAACGTGATCACTAATCATCAGAAAAATGCAAATCAAAATCACAATGATATGTCTCATACCTGTCAGAATGACTTTCATCAAAAAGAACACAAATAACATTTTGGTAAGGATATGGAGAAAAGGGAACTCTACGTACATTTCTGGTGGAAATGTAAATTGGTATAGCCATTATAGAAAACAGTATGGAGGATCCTAAAAAAAGCTAAAAGTTGAATTACTATATGATCAATCCAGCAATTCTACTCCTCAGTATCCAGAAATAAAATACTAATTTGAAAACATACATGCACACCAGTGTTCTAGCAGCATTATTTACAATAGCCAACATGTGGAAGCAACCTAAGTGTCCACGAACGGATGAGCAGACAAAGATGTAGCATGTGTATACAATGGAATAAAAAGAATGAAGAATGAAAATTTGCTGTCTGCAGCAACGTTGATGTTACCAGAGGGTATTATGCTTACAGAGAGACAAATACTGTATCTTATTACTTACATGTGTAATCTAACAGCAACAGAAAAAAAGACTCACAGATACAGAGAATAAACTAGAGGTTACCAGTGGGGATAGGTTAAGTGAGGGGCAAGATAAGGGTATAGGATTAAGAGATACAAACTAATATGTATAAAAGAAAGAAGCTACAAGGATATATGGTATAATGGAATATAGCCAATATTTTAGAATAAATGAAGTAAAATCTGTAAAAATATTGAATCACTATGTATACAACTTATAATCCTGTCAATCAAATATACTTCAATTTAAAAAAACCCAAACCTTTTTTGTTTTTAAAATGAATCAAATACCTGTGAGCATACTGAACCAGATTTTTTAAAATCACCTGATATTCTATCTCTTCTGGTGGTAGTGGTGTAGTTGCTAAACTGTGTCTGACTTGCTACCCCATGGACTGTAGCCTGCTAGGCTCCTCTGTCCATGGGATTTTTCAGGCAATGGAGTGGTTTAACTTTTCCTTCTCCAGGGGATTTTCCCAACCTAGCAATCGAACCCTGGTCTCTTGCACTGCAGGCAGATTCTTTACCCACTAAGCTGCCATCTCCTCTAGATTAACATTATCAGCCTTTTGGTGAACATTCTTCTAGATATATGTCCATGCACACATATATCCAAACATACAAGTCTTAATGAAGACGCTAATTTATAGTCTGATAACTTTAGATTCTGTAATCCTTTTCCATGCATCATGTATAAATCTCTATATCTCAACAGATTTACTGGGCATCCCTGATGGTCTAATAGCTAAGAATCCATTTGCCAATGCAGGGGACATGTCAGGTTCGATCCCTGGTCCGGGAGGATCCCACAGCTGTGAAGCATCTAAGCCTGTGTGCCACGAGTATTGAGCCTGTGTTCTAGAGCCCACGAGCCACAACCTAAGCCCGAACACTACACCTACTGAAGCCTGTGCGCTGCACAAGAGAAGCCATTGCAATGAGAAGCCCACACACCATAACAAGGGTTGCCCCTGCTCACCCCAGCTAGAGAAAAGCCCATGCATAGCAACAAAGACCCAGTGCAGCCAAAATTAAATCTGCAAAGAAATACATTTATCTCTATTATCTTAAATACTGTGTTTAACTATTATAATGTGTTGTATATGCATCAGTTTATCTAATTTCTTATTGGTAGGTATTTAGGTTGCTGCCAGTTTTTTGCTATCATAAGCAGGGGTTTATATACTTATGCAACAGTCAAATTAAGATGAATTCCTCCAATTGTTATTTCTGCATTAAAGGTAAACTCATTTTAAATTTCTATACATATTCTGAAATGATGTTCCAGAAAGAAGCAGTGACAAATGTAACCAATTTGCTCAGGGAAAGGCATCCGTTTCGTCACACCCTGGCGGTTACGGCAAAGACTGAATGTGAACAACCAACCAATCAGAGAAGAGAGATTTGCATTTCTTAGTAACGAAGATGAATATCTTTTCTTATGTTTATTAGACATGTATTTCTTTGTCAGCTGTTTTTCCAATGTCTTATTTTTCTATTTAGATGCTGATCTTTATTACAACGTTTATCCCCATGTTTTTCACGGTGTTTTCTATAACTTTTGACATTTTCAGCAGTAACAGTTTTTAAAATGGAAAGTTTATCTCGGAAGTAAGATTTTACCATGAACTTTTATACATTTCAAACTGTCAAAAACAACTATATACTGCGGTTTTAGACTGGAGATTCAAAAGTATTATCTAATAAGCCTAGAAAAATCAGACATAATCTATAGTTGTCGCATTGTTTTATTTTATTGATTTTACACTTAAAATCTAAAAGCTGTTTTGTGTGTAAGACTAATTAAATCAAGAAACATGATCCACCTAGGATCTTTTTTCCCTCCAAAATTAAAGATTAGCCTCAAATTCCTATTTCTCTCTGTTTTTCTGTAAGTTGATTACTTCTCAGAGTATGGCTCCCATTAAAAAATTTTAGTGACTGAGGCCATTAAAAACAGAAGTTTATAGTTTCTTACCTTTGACTTTGCAACTATTTCTGAAACTTTCACCACAGGATCTTGAGTGAGACTTAGTTTGTTCTGTGCGTTCATCTTACTGTTCAGCCAACTCATGGCTTCACTAATATATTTTTCAACCTTTTCAATTTCAGCAGGATCCAAATGATCGTATCTTTCATCCTATTAGGGGGAAAAAAATGAGAGGTTTTTCAGTAAGCACCAATTTATTGATAATTTCTGCTTAAAAGACTTAGACTCTTATTGAGTGTATATCACACACATACTCGTGAAGAAGCCATTTACAAATTACATAGAACTGAAGAAACTGGGAGAAAGAAAAATCAGTATGCCTTTTTAAGAGGAAAGGCCTTCTGAAGAAGTCAGGTTTGGAAAGGAATGACTTGTGGAGAATATTAAAACTGAAAAGTAGTTTTTTAGCCAAGAAAGAAGCTGCATGGAATTTAATCTGTCAAGGAGTAAAATGAAATAAGGTAAGTAGGCACAAGCAAGCTACACATAAAATTCCAACTCTATACCAGGCTCTGATTAAGTTGATAAGGAGACATAAAAAGTAAAACTGTCTGAAAGAGACACCTGCAGCTGTCACATGTAGAAGACAATCTAAGAAGTCATGATTTATACTAGTGGTCTCAAAACCAGAAAGAAGTGACAATGCAACATTCAGAAAGAGGATCTCCTCCCCATTCATCTATCTACAGGCTTTTAAAAAATCTCCAGCCTGAACATCTTCCCTAACTCTCAACTCTATCCAGCTTCCAACTTGAATTCTTATTTGTAAAGTTTGAAACAACATACCTGTGTTTCAAATTCACGATTACCTCCTTACCTACTCTTAAAAAGTTTTGCTCATCTCAGTAATTAAAAACTTTATCCTTTCAGGCCAAAAATCCTTAAGAGTTGACTCCTCTTTCTGTTTTATCTACAGAAAAATTATCAGCTCTGCCTTCAAAATATATGCAGCAGAAATCCACCCACTTCCCCTTCCACTATCCAGGCTTAGGGTTCCGTCACTTCTTGCCTGTACTATTCTAATGATTTAACTAGTCTCTCTGCTTCTGTAGTGTTAAATCATGCTGCTCCGATGCTCAGAAGCCTCCAATGGACCCCTATCTCAGGGTAAAAACAAAGCTTTTATAATGGCCCCTGGGCGCTGCATGATCTGGGAACTAATAACCCCACCCCTACTGTTTTGGGTCCCCTTGGCTTCATTGCTGTTACTCCTACACATTCCCTGAGATTTTGCAATTGCTTCCTACCCCCCGCTCCACTTTTTTAAAAACATTTTTCTTATAATTATCATATATCTTGAACCCTCCCTCAGCTCCTTTAATTCTCCCCTCAAATGATGTCATCTTAATTAGTCTGCCTTTCTGACAAATCTCCACCTCTGGCAGTCCCTTCCTTTTCCCACAGCTCTTATCACCATCTGACTTCAGTAACCCATTATTGTCTATCTTTTCCCACAAGCATATTAGAAATAAGTCGAATGTTTTGTTTGATGCTGTAGTTCCAGCACCTTGAAGAGGTGGAACATAATAAACTCAAAACAAGTGAAGTCTTGCCTTGCTCTGAACAATAGAGCATCTTTTTAAACCTGCATCTTCAGGAAGCTTTTTGACAGCATGGCAGACACTAGGTTGTAATAATAATAAATAGACCCTCCAATACCAGATTTGAAATATTCTTGGTGTTTATATTTGTCTGCTTGTTCCTTCTTTCTTTTCCATTATCCTTATATTCTATTTGTACCTGTATGGACACTGACGTTGGCAGGCACATTCTCAGTTGGTACCTGGATTATTCCTTTAGGTTGGCTGGACTGCACTCTATCTTAAAAAATGTACAAATCTTTTATTGGTAAAATAAGTAACTACCTTTCCCACACTGTGTAGTGAAAAATAGTAGAGTTGTTAAGGGTTTGTATGTTGACTTTAGACTGCTTAGATTTTACCCTGACTACATCACTACTTAAGTTGCTTAAGCACTGCTATTTTCCTATAAAATAACATTCTTGTCAGAACTGAGATAATCCATGGAAAGTGCTCAAAGTTTAGTACGTGCTTGATAAATGTAAACTATGATAATGCCCTCCTTAAGTCTTTGGTGCTGGTCTCTCCAGCCCACTGATGCAGTTTTAACATCAGTGATAAAATCTGGGGGAATTACAGTGAATATTTTTTTTTTTTTTTACAGTGAATATTTAAAATTGAAATCGGCAAACTTGGGGGCTCCCTGGTGGTTCAGTGGTAAAGAACCTGCCTGCACTGTAGAAGATGCAGGAGACGGGTTCAATCCCTGGGTCAGGAATTTGCCCTGGAGGAGGAAATGGCAACCTGCTCCAGTAGGGAGCATGGACAGAGGAGCCTGGTTGGTTACAGTGCACGATCACAAAGAGTCACATGCTGAGCACACACACAGAAAACTTGGCCTGCAGGGAAAATTAAACCTGCTGAGTTTAATAAACTTATTTTGGAGTACTGCCATGCCCATTTGTTTACACACTGTGTATTTGCTCTTGCTCTGCAACAGCCAAGTTGAACTTACATAGTAGGCCTGCAGAGCCTAAAATGTTATTTGGTCATTTAAAGAAAAAGTTTGCTAACCTCTCCTTTAGAGGAAAAAAAAATCAGCTTAATTTTGTCAAATCTTACTGTTAACATTCAAATGCAGGTAACTTATGTAACTAAATATTTGAGGCTAAAAAACAATGGAAAGACTAAGGGTAGTAAGACTGATGTGGGCACAGATATAAAAGAATAAAGGACATGGGAGTTACAGATACAAGACTGGAAGACCAAGAGCAACCAAAAGAAAGAGGCGCCAAGGGACAAAACGAATGCTAGCAGAGTCCAGTTTCAAAGATGCCAGTAAAAAAAGGTTCAACAAAACCTCCTTTTCACTGTATCAATAATGAAATCCCTAAGAAGAAAACAATGAATTTGTTCACTGGATTAATCCAGGGAATTCTAAAAGATTAAAACCACATAACTGCACTTTGGTAGCAACAACTGCTATAGCTCTGTAGTTGAGAAGATTTACCCCATTCTCTCTGTGTACCACACACGTTTCCATTATCAGCAATTTACTTTATGAGTTTTAATACCTTGTTTCTGTATGCTTCTATCACTTTCATGACAAGTTGGATCTTTTTTCCCAAGTCGTTTAAAGCTTTTGGTCTTTCTTCATGTTCCATGTACCTTATTTGAATAGGCTGGCCATATTTCTGTTAAGTTTTTTAAAAAGAAAAAGTTATTAACAGAAAACAACTTTTATTGTGGTTCACTGGAGGAAATGGCAACCCACTCTACTATTCTTGCCTTGAGAATCCCATGAACAGTTATGAAAAGGCAAAAAGATATGACACTAGAAGATGAGTCCCCCCTCCCCCTAGGTTGTAAGGTATCCAATATGCTACTGGGGAAGAGCAGAGGGCAATTTTACTCATAGCTCCACAAAGAATGAAGTTGCTAGGCCAAAGTGGAAACAGTGCTCAGTTGTGGATGTGCCTGGTGGTGAAAGTAGTCCAATGATGTAAAGAACAATATTGCATAGGAACCTGGCAATGGATGTGAATTTCAGCAAGCTCTGGGAGATAGCAGAGGACAGAGGTGCCTCAGTTCAGCTCAGTTGTGTCCGGCTCTTTGTGACCCCATGGACTGCAGCACTCCAGGCCTCCCTGTCCATTATCAACTCCCAGAGTTTACTCAAACTCTTCTCCATTGAGGCGGTTATGCCATCCGACCATCTCATCCTCTGTTGTCCCCTTCTCCTGCCCTCAATCTCTCCCAGCATCAGGGTCTTTTCAAATGAGTCAGCTCTTCACATCAGGTGGCCAAAGTACTGGAGTTTCAGCTTCAACATCAGTCCTTCCAATGAACATTCGGGATTGATCTCCTTTAGGATGGTCTGGATCTCTGTGCAGTCAAAGGGACTCTCAAGATTCTTTTCCAACACCACAGTTCAAAAGCATCAATTCTTTGGTGCTCAGCTTTCTTTATAGTCCAACTCTCACATCCATACATGACCACTGGAAAAACCATAGCCTTGACCACACAGACCTTTTTTGGCAAAGTAATGTCTCTGCTTTTTAATATGCTATCTAGGTTGGTCATAACTTTCCTTCTAAGGAGTAAGCGTCTTTTAATTTCATGGCTGCAGTCACCATCTGCAGTGATTTTGGAGACCCCCAAAATAAAGTCTGTCACTGTTTACACTGTTTCTCCATCTATTTGCCATGAAGTGATGGGACTGGATGCCATGATCCTAGTTTTCTGAATGTTGAGCTTTAAGCCAACTTTTTCACTCTCCTCTTTCACTTTCATCAAGAGGTCTTTAGTTCTTTGCTTTCTGCCATAAGGGTGGTGTCATCTGCATATCTGAGGTTATTGATATTTTTCCTGACTTGTGCTTTATCCAGCATTTCTCATTATGTACTCTGCACATAAGCTAAATAAGCACAGTGACAATATACATACAGCCTATATGTACTCCTTTCCTGATCTGGAACCAGTTCCATGTCCAGTTCTAGCTGTTGCTTCCTGACCTGCATGCAGATTTCTCAAGAAGCAGGTCAGGTGATCTGGTATTCCCATCTATTTCACAATTTTCCATAGTTTATTGTGATCCACAAAGTCAAAGCCTTTGGTATAGTCAATAAACAGAAATAGATGTTTTTCTGGAACTCTCTTGGTTTTGCGATGATCCAGCGGATGTTGGCAATTTGATCTCTGGTTCCTCTGCCTTTTCTAAAACCAACTTAAACATCTGGAAGTTCACGGTTCACATATTATTGAAGCCTGGCTTGCAGAATTTTAAGCATTACTTTGCTAGTGTGTGAGATGAGTGAAATTGTGCAGTAGTTTGAGCATTCTTTGGCATTGCCTTTCTTAGGGATTGGAATGAAAACTGACCTTTTCCAGTCCTGTGTCCACTGCTGAGTTTTCCAAATTTGCTGGCATATGGAGTGCAGCACTTTCACAGCATCATCTTTTAGGATTTGAAATAGCTCAGCTGGAATTCCATCACCTCCACTAGCTTTGTTCCTAGTGATGCTTCCTAAGGCCCACTTCACTTAACATTCCAGGATGTCTGGCTCTAGGTGAGTGATCACACCATCGTGATTATCTGGGTCATGAAGATCTTTTTTGTATAGTTCTTCTGTGTATTCTTGCCACCTCTTCTTAATATCTTCTGCTTCTGTTAGGTTCATACCATTTCTGTCCTTTATTGAGCCCATCTTTGCATGAAATGTTCCCTTGGTATCTCTAATTTTCTTGAAGAGATCTCTAGTCTTTCCCATTCTATTGCAGCACACTAGAGGAGCCTGGTGTGCTGCAATTCATGAGGTCACAAAGAGTCAGGCACAATTTAGCAATTGAATAACAACAAATACAGGAAGATGAATAGGAAAGAAAGGTGGTCAGATCAAAATCTGTCCCCTCTTATTTTCCTACATGGAAATGAGTTCCAGTGGTTATGTGCTTATTCAATCCTACACAGGGATGTCTATACCTTATGTCCTCCTCTCATTCATTAAGATTACCTTTTGATTCCTCTCAAATCCAAAGAACGTTAATTTTTTAAAAGTTGGGTGTTATAAGTTTAAAACTACTAAGAAAACCGTAAGAACTATACTGCATCCAGAAATAATGTATTTGAAACCTGGTTTCATATAACTCATGCATATAATTCTGTATATGCAACATGGTTATTGGGATTTCCTAGTATTTATTACCTATTGACTATTATTTATGTCATATTTATTCATTAGATTAGTATGTGTATTTTAAGTATAGTGCTTAAAAACAAGAAAGCCCTTTGGCCCCTTACCCCAGGTGCATAGAAGTAGAGAGTGTCTAAATTTTAAAACAGCCTCTGTAACTGTGAGCAGGGGAATACATTAGAAAAAAAGATAGATATTTTCTTCCAAATTCTTTACCTGCGTAAATAAAAATCAGCTTATTTTAGAGTAATTTTAGGTTTTCAGAAAAGTTACAAAGGAAACAAAGGCGAGCCAAGCACCTTTTATTGCTTTTCTCTAATGTTAGCATCTTATACCATTATGGAACATTTGTCAAAACCAAGAAATCAACACTGGTGTATTACTATTAAATATTGACTGAACTCCAGATTATTTGGATTTCATCTTTTTCTTTCCCAGGATACCATACTGCATTTAGTCTACTTACATTGTACTTTTAATTGTAAATGTTTTTGAAAGGGGAGTAAGTCATACAAGCCATCTTATAAAAATAGTGAAGCCCATGAAAACTTCTATAACATTCATTTCTACATTTACATATATATTGGAAGCAAAATAATACATTCTTGGAACTTCTGGGCTTTTCAGTTATTTCTATTGGCCTCAGCTGTCTGGCTTGTTCCTCCAGTCCAATTTATATATATAGTCCATTAAAGGAGATGGGGAGTAAAAAACACCAAGAGGATAAAATATGGTAAAGCTTAGTTTTGCTTTCATAAGCATAGGCTTTCAAGTTGCTTTTTAATTGTTTCCTTTGGAAGTAATTTATTGGCAAGATATTAACCTTTAAACAATTTGTTTTAGATGTACCCCAATATGCGTTGCAGTACAATTTACAATAGCCAGGACATGGAAACAACTGAGATGTCCATCAACAGATAAATGGATAGAGAAGATGTGGTACATTTATTTTCTTTTGCTTTCAAGTTACATAAATTCTTTTGCACCTCAACCTCCCCATCACTAAAGGGCTGCCTTTCCACATACTCTAGAAGTCTTTATTAATGTCATCACTTAGTATACATGTATTTACTCACTACTCAAATGGTTCAGGGACCAGGAGCATCAGAATCTCTTGGAAGGTTATAAGAAATGCAGAATCATGGGCCCAACTTAGATATACTGAATTTTTTGCATTTCAGTAAAGGCCCCAGGTTATTCATGTGCACACTAAAGCTATGATCCTCACTAAGATGGAAAGACTAAAATTTCCTGTCATCTTTCCAATCTAAACTTCTAAACTTTTGAAGTTTTTTTTTTTTTCCAGGATGGGTGGTGAGGGTTGGGTGGCAAGCAGGAGGAAAAGAGTAATAGTGTTTTTTTCTTAAATCAGACCACTGACCTAGAAAAAGGGGACCTGGTGGACATATCTCCTTATTTCTTTTTTAAAGGACATTGAAGAGCAGGGGTACTATTTTTGAAGTTCTTTGCTGGCCTGGTGTCCCCAATAGTGTGAATATACAAAAGGGCAGTGTGTTAACTCCTCAAAATCAGAGCAGTCAAGGGGGAGAGAAGCTGAGCAAAGGTGACTCTTCTAATGGATGAGGGGTCAGGCTGACAAGTCACTTCTTAACAACATCTCAGAAATCATGACTTATATAAGAGTAATAGTAACACTCTGATCATGTGCTAATTGGAAGCAGTCAAACGGGAGATAGCAAGAGTGAACATCAACATTTTAGGAACCAGTGAACCAAAAGACTGGAATGGGTGAATTTAACTCAGATGACCATTATATCTACCATTGTGGGCAAGAATCCCTTAGAAGAAATGGAGTAGCCCTCATAGTCAACAAGAGTCCGAAATGCAGTTCTTGAGTGCAATTTCAGAAACAACAGGACAATCTCTGTTCACTTCCAAGGCAAATCATTCAGTATCACAGTAATCCAAGTCTATGCCCCAAACAGTAATGCTGAAGAAGCTGAAGTTGAACAGTTCTATGAAGACCTACAAGACTTTCTAGAACTAACACCCCAAAATATGTCCTCTTCATTTGGGGGACTGGAATGCAAAAGTAGGAAGTCAAGAGATACCTGGAGTAATATGCAAATTTGGCCTTGGAGTACAAAATGAAGCAGAGCAAAGGCTAACATAGAGTTTTGCCAAGAGAACACACTGGTCATAGCAAACACCCTCTTCCAACAACACAAGAGAAGACTCTACACATGGACATCACCAGATGGTCAATACCAAAATCAGATTGATTGTATTCTTTGCAGCCAAAGATGGAGAAGCTCTATACTGGCAGCAAAAACAAGACATGGAGCTGACTGTGGCTCAGATCATGAACTCCTTATTGCCAAATTCAGACTTATATTGAAGAAAGTACGGAAAACCACTAGACCATTCAGGTAGGACCTAAATCAAATCCCTTAACGATTATACAGTGGAGGTGAGAAATAGACTCAAAGGATTAGATCTGATAGAGTGCCTGAAGAACTATGCACGGAAGCTCATGACATTGTACAGGACATAGTGATCAAGACCATCCCCAAGAAAAAGAAATGCAAAAAGGCAAAATGGTTGTCTGAGGAGGCCTTACAAATAGCTGAGAAAACAAGACAAGCAAAAAGCAAAATGAGAAAAATAAAGATATACCCATTTGAATGCACAGTTCCAAAGAACAGCAATGAGAGATAAGAAAGCCTTCCTCAGTGATCAATGCAAAGAAATAGAGGAAAACAATAGAATAGGAAAGACTAGAGATCTCTTCAAGAAATTAGAGCTACCAAGGGAACATTTCATGCAAAGATGGGCAAAATAAAGGACAGAAATGGTATGGACCTAACAGAAGCAGAAGATACTAAGAAGAGGTGGCAAGAATACACAGAAGAACTATACAAAAAAATCTTCATGACCCAGATAACCATGATGGTGTGATCACTCACCTAGAGCCAGACATCCTGGAATGTGAAGTCAAGTAGGCCTTAGGAAGCATCACTAGGAACAAAGCTAGTGGAGGTGATGGAATTCCAGTTGAGCTATTTCAAATCCTAAAAGATGATGCTGTTAAGGTGCTTCACTCAACATGCCAGCAAATTTGGAAAACTTAGCAGTGGCCACAGTGGACTGGCCACTGGCCAGCAGTGGACTGGCAAAGGTCAGTTTTCATTCTAATCCCAAAGAAAGGCAATGTAGTCATCTCACATGTTAGCAAAGTAATGCTCAAAATTCTCCAAGTCAGGTTTCAATAATACGTGAACTGAGAACTTCCAGATGTTCAAGCTGGATTTAGAAAAGGCAGAGGAACCGGAGATCAAATTGCCAACATCCGCTGGATCATCAGAAAAGCAAGAGAGTTCCAGAAAAACATCTATTTCCGCTTTATTGACTATGCCAAAGCCTCTGACTGTGTGGATCACAACAAATTGTGGAAAATTCTGAAAGAGATGGGAATACCAGACCACCTGACCTGCCTCCTGAGAAATCTGTTTGCAGGTCAACAAGCAACAGTAGAACTGGACATAGAAACAGACTGGTTCCAAATCGGGAAAGGAGTACATCAAGGCTGTATATTATCACCCTGCTTATTTTACCTATATGCAGAGTATTTAACATATATGCAGAATATATCTTGCTAAATGCCAGGCTGGATGAAGCACAAGCTGGAATCAAGATTGCCGGGAGAACATCAATAATCTCAGACACGCAGATGGCACCACCCTTTTGGCAGAAAGTGAAGAAGAACTCAAGAGCCTCTTGATGAAAAAGGACAGTGAAAAAGTTGACTTAAAACTCAACATTCGAAAAACTATAATCACGGCATCCAGTCCCATCACTTCATGGTAAACAGATAGGGAAAACCATTAAAACAGTGAGAGACTTTACTTTTCGGGGCTCCAAAATCACTGCAGAGGGTGACTGCAGCCATGAAATTAGAAGACGCTTGATCCTTGGAAGAAAAGCTATGACAAACCTAGACAGTATATTAAAAAGCAGAGACATTACTTTGCCAACAGTGGTCTGTCTAGTCAAAGCTTTGGTTTTTCCAGTAGTCATGTATGGATGTGAGAGTTGGACCATAAAGAAAGTTGAGCACTGAAGAATTGATGCTTTCTAACTGCACTGTTGGAGAAGACTCTTGAGAGTACCTTGGTCTGCAAGGAGATCAAACCAGTCAATATCCTGAATATTCATCAAAAGGACTGATGTTGAAACTGAAACTCCAATACTTTGGCCACCTGATGCGAAGAACTGACTCATTTGAAAAGACCCTGATGCTGGGAAAGATTGAAGGCAGGAGGAGAAGGGGATGACAGAGGATGAGATGATTGGATGGCATCAATGACTCGATAGACCTGAGTTTGAGCAAGCTCCAGGAGCTGGTGATGGACAGGGAAGGCTGGTGTGCTGCAGTCCATGGGGTTGCAAAGAGTGGGACATGACTGAGTGACAGAACTGAACATCTGCTAAATTTTCATATCTGACTATCATAATAGACAAGAATGATTATGCATTATTTAATTTCAATTATCATGTAGCAGTCCTCACCTCCTAAATGAAAAGAGAGTATTTCTTGTTACACATATCTGCCTTAGAAATTTCTTATGTATTAATTAAACACATACACTGTGTTCTTACACAATAACTTTTAGGACAATTTAATGTCCTGTTCAACACTAATATAGACTTTAAAAAGTTTACCTTTAATTCCTGAAGCTTATCCACATACACTTGTTTAGGTTGGTCCTCTCCTTCTTCATAAAGCCAATTTTCTGTGTCTTCCAATATTGCAGACAGTTTTTTCAAGTCCTAGTTAGTTAAGAGATACTGATTGAAAATATTCTCCTTAGAAACAAAAGTCATCAAAGCAAGGACAAAATGTTTTTCATTCTGGTTTCATATTTATAAACATGTTTTCACTAGACTTCTGAAATTTGGTAAAATAACTAAGAACCATTCCTAAATGTGCTCAAAAAGACTGACAACAAAAACACATTTGCAACATTTATTTATATATTTATATTAGCATGCTCAAGTAAACATTTAAATAATTCTAATAAAAAACTACAAAACTTAGACTTACTTCTTGAGTGATGAATTTTTCATAGACAGTGCCAAGCTTGTCTCTAAAATCATATACATATTCTTCAACAGCATTCTTTGCATCATTTCTTTCTTTCTCTAACTTATCCTGCATTATCATCTTCCCCTATTCAAAAAGTTTTACATTAGTTGCCAGGAAAACACTAGGAAAATAAAAACCAAAACTACAATGAAACATCACTTCAAACATCACTTGGTGATTATTTGTAGGATTTGAAACCCTTGTACATTGCTTTTGGGAATGTACAATAATGTCCCCCTTAGAGAAAACTTTGGTGGCTCCTAAAGAAGCTAAAGAAAGAATTACAATGTGACCCAACAGTTTCACTCCTAGACATATAATTAAAGAACTAGAAGCAGGAACTCAGTTATTTGTCACCCAATGTTCACTGCAGCATTATTTACAATAACCAAAAGGTGGAAACAACTCATTTGTCCTTTAACATGTGAATGGACAAATAAAATGTATATATACAAAACGGAATGTTATTCTATTATAAAAAGAAAGTTCTGACACATGTTACGAACTTGATGAACCTTGACAACATTATGCTCAGTGATATTCAAACAGACACAAAGAATAAATATTGTATGGTTACATTTATATGAGTTATCTAATACAAATTCAAAGAGAGAGAAAGTAGATTAATTTCTTGGGGGTTGGGGAAGGGAGGAATGGTGAGTTATTAGTGGTTAGAGTTTCTGTTTAGGGTGATGAAAAAGTTTTGGAAAAGATAGTGTCAATTAAAATATTTTTTTCTTTTTAATAGACTAATGTATGTTAGTGTTCAAATCCTAGGTTTCCCATTTATTAGCTTTGAAATTGCAGCAAAATTGCCTAACCTAAGCCTCAGTTTTCTTATCCTAGAGAGCATACTTCTATATATCTTGTATGGCTGTTAATAAGATTGACATATTCACATAAAGTATTCAGGACAGTGCCTGACACATAACTGGTCCTGAATAGACATTGGCTTTGGTAAGTGATACAGTATAGTGGTTGTGATCTTGAGCTTTGGAGACAGACTACTGGGCTCCAAAACAAAGCTTACTTGCTGAACTTGGGTGATTCAGTCTACTTCTGCCAGTTTCCTCATCTTTTAAATGCAGATCTCTAACAGTACTTAGATTTCATAGGCTTGAAGATTAAAGAGGATATGAAAGTATTTAAAGATGTTAGCAAAAATTATTGTTAAATTAAAAGCCAAGAAAGAATCTGTAATAAATATTTGTACTTTAACAAAAACATAATATTTTAAACATAATACAATGTATCGATATTTGTAAATTTGAAATAGACAATTAGCACAACATTGTAAAGCAACTATACTCCAATAAAATTATTTTAAAAATAAAATGAGACATTTAAATATTTTGAGAAAAAATCTTACATACAAAATTTATCATAGCTGCACTTCCACATAATTCATTTCTTTGGGAAAGTTAGTCTCAAATAATACAAATTCAGAATTATTCAGGATCTCTAGAAATGCTTGCTTCACATAAAATGTAGCTTTTAACAATTCATGAATAGGTGATATAGGTAGGTACTAGAAAGAGAACACTGTAAAGTCAAAATGTCTTGAGGAAATTCCTAGAATAATGTGCAGCAGTTGGAGAATATGCAGCACTTCAAAGACAACTGCTGGTCAAGCCTGTATAAATTAGGAACTACCATCTAAATGTAAATTAAAAAAAAATTTTTACACAACCATTGGTAAAGAAACCAAACTCTTTTCCTCAAGAAAGTGTAAAATGAAACATATAAACATGTAAAGAAAATTTCAAGAATGACAACACTTTCTAAAAAAGTATCAAGGAAGTAAGAAGACATTCTGAATTGAATCTTAATCTTTAAGGACCTTACATCTGAAGAGGGGAGCTGGTAATACTTCCCTATACAATGTCTGCTGAGTGTGCTACTGTTAAGACACAATAAAAGGGGTAAGAATTATTAGTGTTGGAAAGGCCTTTCTCTGTAGTGGAGACAAGCCAAGTTTTTCATATAACTAAGGTGAAAGCTACAACTGTACATGACACTAATACAGCTCAGCGTTTTGTCCAAAATAAAACAGTTCAATAATCTATTTAATAATTTCTTATGAGTTACAGACTAGTTCCCTAAATTTGAGGGATAATTATTCTACAAAAATTTGAGAATACACTACCACCAGTTTCAACATCAGTTCAGATTTATATACCTCATTTTCAATGTAGCTGTTGAGAAGATCTTGGCCCAGTTGTCTACACAGGCTACTCTGGATGGGTAGATCAATACTCTTGATGCTTCCTTTTTTAATGTTCTGGTTTAGTCGCTCTTGCTTCTCTGAGAGAGCAGACTGCAAAAGAAATGCAAGAGAAGTATAAGTTTCTCTAGCTTAAAAATAGATTTAAGAGACTGATTTCAGATGAAACAAAGTAAAATCAAAACTACTATCTATCATACCTTAAAAATATTATTTTAATACTGATAGTACTTTACACTCTTGTATACACTAAATCTTTCTACATAAAAAATCCTGGGCTGGGAAACAAACTGAAACCACAATGAAATACCATTTCCTACCCACTAGGATGACTTATAATGAAAAAAAAAAGAGGAAAATAAGAGATGGTGAATATACAGAGAAATTGGAATCCTTATACATTGTTGAAAAGATAGAAAAATATGACAGCCATTTTGGAAAACAGGTAGTTCCTCAAATTGTAAACATAGAGATATCATATGACCCAGCAATTCCATTCCTGTGTATGAGCCCAAGAAAAATCAAAATATACATCCAAATAAGACCTGTATATGGTTGTTCAAAACACCATTATTCATAAAAGTCAAGCGGTAGAAAAAATCCAAGAGTCCATCAGTTGATGAATGAATAAATGTGGTATCCATCTGTATGATACAATATTACTCAACCATAAAGGGGAATGAAGTACTGATATATCCTACAACCTGGATAAACCTTGAAAATATGCTTAGCAAAAAGAAGCCAGTCATTAAAGGATCACATACTATATTGCTGTATTTATAGGAAATGTCTAGAACAGGCAAGTCTATAATTCAAAAATATTAGTGGCTGACTAGGGCTGGCAGGGGGAGGGTTGGGGGGGAAATAAAGAGTTACTGCTAATGGGTACAGGGCTTCTTTTTGGAGTTGTAAAATTGTGATAATGATTTCATAACTTAGGACATTAAAAACCTTTGAATTGCACTCTTAAATGGGAGAATTTCATGATATGTAAATTGTCTCAATAGAGCTGTTGAATAAAGACAAAACAATGAATAAAATAAAAAATTCAGAAAAATAGCTTTCAGGTTTTATATTACTTGAGAAACTAGGATTTAAAATCGAGTCTTTACAGCCTTTGGAAAAAAAATCTATACAAACCATCACAGATTAAATTCTGTTCTGGTTAGAAAAATCTGTCAAAGATGATAGTTTAGAGCTGGAGCCAGCCATATTCATCTGGGTGGTTGGTGCAGGGTATTTCTCCCTTCTCTTTTATCAGCACTCATTTTCTCAGTAAGATAATGACTCTTAATAATAAGAGCCATTTATCCTTTAAAACTTTACTTCCAAAAATATAATTTTTGCACTAAGAATGCTTTATGATTTGCAGCATGCACCACAGAGTGGTTTATTTTGAGGTGCTGCATTATTGCTAATTTAAGTTTTCTTCATTTGTCCTATTCTAGTTCCTATTTTCTGAGATTTTAAGATTTTTTTTTTCCATTTATTTTTATTAGTTGGAGGCTAATTACTTTACATCATTGCAGTGGTTTTTGTCATACATTGAAATGAATTAGCCATGGATTTACATGTATTCCCCATCCTGGTCCCCTCTCCTACCTCCCTCTCCACCCGATCTCTCTGGGTCTTCCCAGTGCACCAGGCCCGAGCACTTGTCTCATGCACCCAACCTGGGCTGGTGATCTGTTTCACCCTAGATAATATACATGTTTCGATGCTGTTCTCTTGAAACATCCCACCCTGATTTTAAGATTTTTAATGAGAAAAAAAAAGTTAATGAAAAGACACAAAAAGACACAGCCACAGTAATAGTATACTGGTTTCCCTAGTGGCTGATGGTAAAGAATCTGCTTGCAATGCAGGAGACCCGGGTTCAACCCCTGGGTCAGGAAGATCCCCTGGAGAAGGAAATGGCAACCCACTCCTGTATTCTTTTTTTTTTTTTTCTTTCCTTTTTATTTTTTCTCTTTTCTTTTCTTTTTTTTTTTTCATTTATTTTTATTAGTTGGAGGCTAATTACTTTACATCATTGCAGTGGTTTTTGTCATACATTGAAATGAATTAGCCATGGATTTACATGTATTCCCCATCCTGGTCCCCCCTCCCACCTCCCTCTCCACCCGATCCCTCTGGGTCTTCCCAGTGCACCAGGCCCGAGCACTTGTCTCATGCACCCAACCTGGGCTGGTGATCTGTTTCACCCTAGATAATATACGTGTTTCGATGCTGTTCTCTTGAAACATCCCACCCTCGCCTTCTCCCAGAGTCCACAAGTCTGTTCTATACATCGGAGTCTGTTTTTCTGTTTTACATATAGGGTTATCGTTACCATCTTTCTAAATTCCATATATATGTGTTAGTATACTGTAATGGTCTTTATCTTTCTGGCTTACTTCGCTCTGTATAATGGGCTCCAGTTTCATCCATCTCATTAGAACTGATTCAAATGAATTCTTTTTAATGGCTGCCCACTCCTGTATTCTTGCCTAGAAAATCCCATGGACAGAGGAGCGGCAGACTACTATCCATGGTATTGTACAGTTGGACACGACTAAGCGATTAAGCACAGTAATAGTAGAACAAACCTTTGTTTTGGTTCCTGTATGGTCAATTTCTTCCTCTGGAGTGTGTTCAGCATGACATTTTTGATGATCTCCTTCTTCTTGGTCAACCTGCATTTTATCCTGCAAAGAGAATGAGTAACTGACAATATCTCTAGTCGCTTTTTCTTTTTTTTTCTTTCTGTTTTTGGTAATGAACAGCATCTTAGAGTTCAAGCCTGTTTTCACATGTATGAAGATAGTAAAGTAGAAGCTCACTGTTTCTGAAATGGGAGTAACTATTAATATAAATACTCAGGTTGACAGTAAGTAAAATGAAAAGATCTATTTGATGCTATGAAAATAAATCTTGTTTTTCACCTGTGACCAAATAACTGCAAATAAATGCAAAATTGTTCTTAAGTCAAATTCACAAACCAAGATTGACCCAAAAAAAAAGAATGTTAAACTTGACACAAAAAATGTTCATAAAGAACTTAATGTGGGAAAATAAACTGAAAAAGATATAAAATTTATGTATTACACATAAATTCAATTGTATTTTTAAAATCTGGGAAAATACCCAAATACATAAGAACTGTCAAAGTAGATGTCTCTGAATTATCAAATGTAAACTTTTAAGTTTTTTTTTAAATCTAAAAGACAAATTTCCAAACCATAAGACTGCCAAAATGGACTCCCAACTTGGCAAAAAAAATCACAAGTATTAGGTTTTTCTGGTCTTCCTTAATCTTACCCACGACTATCCTCCTAAAAGGAAGAAAGTTTGGCACTCAGGAATCAGGATAATTTAGGTGTTCAGATATATATGGAGTTAAGCATTATTACATATAATGTCCATAAGGTTATCTTGCCTAATGCTTATTTGTGCCAAAGAGAAAAACATGTTAGAAGACAACTTATAGCAGTGTTCTTTGTTAAGTCAAGAACTGAAATTCCATCCCCACTGCTCCCTGCCCTACCACCTGCCAGCTATGTAATTTTCCCAACCTTATGATGGAGAAGAGGTGAAAAAAGTGTTATAGTGCCATGCTGGGGTAATGTAGATAGACAACAGATACATTATTAACTATTTCATGTAACACTAAGAAAACAATGTTGCTAGTTAAGGCCAAAATACTTTATCACTTGGCATTTTAAATTTAGTACTTATCCTATCTCTAAAAAAAAATATAAATCAATCAATATGGTTAAGGTATTTCTAAAACTTTTTCACATGCATAACCCAACTCATCTAAATCACATAATTCAGTCAATGATGTCTGAATTGTTCTATACATATTTGTCCTCTGTGCTATCAAGAGCATTAGTGGTCCAGCCATTTGTTTAAAAATTGCTCCAGTATCATCTCTAAGTTTTCTTATAAGCCACAGATACCTACTCTACAAATTTTATGATTTTTTTTTCTGTATTTTACCAGAAGGAATCAGTAGATTATTTTCAGACAACAACCAAGACTAATACTCCTTTCTTGAATGGTCCTTATACAATTTAATGTCAAGGGTGTGCAACTGCCAACTCATGCCATGAGGAGTAATAATCAAGTTCATACATGTAAAGATGATGAGAACTTTTCATGATTACTGCCGCAGACAACAGTGAATGTAAAATATCATTTGCACAATCCATCCCAATTTCAGGTATATTAATAAGGGGGAACTTGTACATCTTAATAGTTGATCTGAGAGTAATTTGGTAATCTTTTAAAATACTTATAAGAAGGTTCATAGGAATATTATGCCTAGTGGGAAAGTTAATAAAAGTGCCTCTAGAATTGGCTTCCTGATTTTAAGCTTCATGAAGGTTGAGACTGTTTTTCTATTCACTGCTACATCTAAACACAAAATTTAGGTACTTCTGGTTATTTGCCAAATAAATAAAAAGCACTTAAAAATAAAATCTAGTATTATCTAATCTGTCCCGTGATCTATCTTCTCAATCTCTTTTTCTTGTCAGTCTCCCCTTTTCTATATCTTTTATTAAAAGGTATCCTCCCCTCAGGGCCTTTGTACTTGTTTTTCCCTTTGTCTGGACGCCTATCTGCACCTGGCTCCTTACTCTGCCTTTTCATCTTTCACACTAGCTTTCCTCTTCCCTCCTCACAGGTGGCGGTCCTCATTACTTAATTTAGACTATGCATCTCCTACTATTAATTTCCTTTATATTTATATGTTATCCTGTTACTTCTTGCCTGTCCTTTTCCATTAGAATGTAAGTGACAGACCTTCTTTATCCTGCTTACCACTGTATCTTCAGTGCCTAGAACAGTACCTGGTACATATAAGTAATCAGACATTTTGAATTAAAAAGTAGATAAAAAGATAACCTAAATGGTCAACAGTTGAGGAACAGTTAAATTATGGTATGATAGTCTCTTTGATCCTTCACTGTGTAATGAAGCCTAAGTTGTGATACCTTCCTCATATGTCCAGAAAGTAATAAATACCTAGAAGAAAAGTGTTCATTTTCTGAGACATCTTTTTACTGTTCTGAAGAAAAGCTGGCAATCTAGGCTATGGTTTCTCAGGAAAATTGAAGATATCTTAATTTTCAATGAAAAAAATGAGGCCCATAAAATAATCTCTCATAAACTAACTTGTGCACAAAGAAAAAAAAAACAACCAACCAACCCAGTGCTGCTCACTGATCCATACCTAGGTTTCACCTGCCAGCAATGTCAGCAACTAGGGAGCAGCAAAAACGACCTTACTGTCCTCTCATGTTCTCCTCTAAAGCTTAAATAATTAGCTTCCAGGGTCTACTTCAAATTTACTCAACATTTTTTTTGGGGGGAAGGGAGAGACTGCTTAATAATAGTATTTAAACCTTAAGCTTTTAAACTTCTTGATACAGAATTAAAGAAAAAAGTCCTAGAGAGAAACACTAAGCAAGACAGTACACAGGATGTTATCTACACAGCAGAAAACAAGAATAAGGAAATAAACTACAATTTATTCAACATGGGTTATATCGGCTAAGGTAGAGACTTAAAAGGAGATGATATATGTGAATGTGCTCTCCAACAATGCTAACTATATGACCCATAATGTCCGTTACCTTTTTTTGGTCCCTTGATTATATATATTACAGAAGACATGCTCAGGAACATCTCGCTCAACTGGAAGAAATACTTTCTATGGAACACCAAGTGCCTGGAAATATTCTCCAGTAAGCCAAGACACTCTTGTAAGCAAGTCAATCTCCGAGTGCCCGAAGCAGATGCTGTAAATTCATGCATCTTATACACAGGTTGAGTTTTTTAAGTATACATTCAGAAGTCATCCTAAAGGGCTGGTTAACTGGATTTCAAGCCCACATACAAATAGAAGCAGCATATAAGACATGCGAGAGGTAGATAACAGGTGCCACGATCTCCTTGGTTTTTTTTAGTGCCCAGGATTCACTAACATCACACAGAGAAAACTCAAGATCTAAAACATTACACAGAGACTTTTTAGAAAAAGAGGTGAAGAAGTTAAACAGCTGTAAAAGAACTTACTCCAAAAAGCATACAGAATGCATTCAATTTTAGTAAAACTAAATCTTAATGGATTAAATTTACACATCTACCATAGTTGCTGTAAATCATAATTAAGAAAATTAACTTTTCAACTTATTATTATGTTTATTTATGAAAATTGACTATCTTTACTAACATATTAGGACAGTATTTCCTTCTCCTTAATTCAAGGAAGGGAGGATGTAACAGGAAAATAATACATGTGAAGAAAAATGAAAGAAAATGCCATGGTTCTTAAATGAAGTAGTGGCAGAATTCTGATCATTCTGAAAGAAAAGATTTTACAGTAATTTTTAGTAAAAACAGACAAAAACACAACTTTAAAAAATGGGAGAAACTGTCTTGAAATTTAAAATGTTAAAATCTACTCTTAACATGCACAAATATATGAAAATCTAGGGCATACCTCTAATTATGGTTTGAAAAAAATCCAACCAAAGTCTTTAAAATAACTTACAAATACTATACATAAAAAGAAGAAAACTTTATGTAATGAAATACAATCACTTTCTCTTAAGACTCTTTGACACTAAGCCAATGCAACATTAGAGTCACATTAACTCTTTCATAAAGAAACTATCAAGAATCTATTGCAATGTTACTGAATGTACAGCACATATTTCTTTTCAGACAGAACTGAGTGAATGAACACACACACACACAGTTATAATTAAGACACTGTATATATTATTAGAGGAGCCTTTTAAAAATAGAATTTCTACATACCACATCATCTTTGCTTTCATTCTTAAAAGAAGTTTCTGTCTCCATAGGAACATCACTGTGATCCCCTTCTATATTTTGCTTCTCAATTACAGATGCACTAGCCACACTGAAGATTCCGTGGATATTAATACGAACTTTAACCTTAACTTTGGAACTATCACCATCAGACTGTGGGAAAACATTCTGAATAGTAAAGTTCCCTTAAGGGAAAAAGAACTTTAATCAGAACATAGGCCTCAGATTAACTCATTCAATTCATTCATTCAATAATTTTACTATCATTTTCACATGTTGGCAAAAAAAAAAAAAATCTTTTTTATCATCATATTCTGATTATTGTGGGGCATGCATTTCCCCCAATCACCTTTTTTTTTTTTTATAATAAACCTGGTATAAATAAAAACTCAAAAGGTTGTAAAGCAATTGTCCTTCAACTAAAAATAAATTAAAAAAAAAAAAGACTCAAAAGGTTAAACCACCTGCCCCAAGTCATCAGTGACAGGAAAAAGGAGAGTTAAAGATCTTAATCAAGGACAATCTGACTGAAGGCAATATCACTTTTAAGTTTTACAATATTGCCACACTAAAACCAAAATAGCAAAATTCAATTTCTGAACTTTAAAACCAAATACATACTACCTGTTTGTTATAAACTGTGCAAATCATTATCATCTTGGTAATTCACAGAGCAATTTAAATTTTCTTTTCCTGGAACTTGCCTATAGCAAAATCGCTAAGCTCCACAGTCATTCCTACCTACTAAGCTCACAATAATTTTTTCACTTTAAGAAATCTGGCGTCTTACGGCTTCTTCGGTGGCTCAGTGGTAAAGAATCCACCTGCCAATGCAGACGACATGGGTTTGATACCTGCTCTGGGGCGATCCCAGTAAGAAAAAAAGAAATCTGATATTTTACTTTTTTAGAAAAAAAATCTCAAATATATAATGTTATCCATGGTAAAGAGAGAAAACTAGGCAGAAAAGTTGTATATAAAATTCTGGCTTTTATAGGTTGAATTGTGACCACCCCTCTTGCCCCAATGCATATGTTGAAGGCCTACTCTCCAGTAACCTCAGGAAGTGACCTTACTTGGAGACAGGGTCTTTACAAAGTAATCAAGTTAAAGTGAAGTTATTGGGTGGGCTCTAATTCAATGACTTGGTGTCCTTATTTGGAGATGGATACACACAAGAGGAGGAGGACACATAAGCATGATGACGGCCATCTATGAACCAAAGACAAACGCCTGGAATGGATCCTTTCCTCACAGCCCTCACAAGGAATCAATCCCACCAACACCTTAATTTTGAATGTTCCAGTCTCCAGAACTGTGAGACAGTACATTTCTATTGTTGAAATATCTAGTTTGTGGTGCTTTGTTACAGAAGCCCTAGAAAACTAATACCATTTTCAATAGTTACTTTTACTGTTTTAAATAATGTACTTGAAATATTAATACTGTCCTCATTTTAATCTATCAAGAAAAGTAGCACATATAGAAAATTTTTAAATTTTATATTTTTAAATGATACAAATCATACTTTTTTTGTATCTTCTAAAAAGATAACTCAGCTGAAATGGATATTAGTCTCCTAGTTCCACTTTCGTATTAATCCAGTAATACTTATTCTATCTGTTGCCCGTGGGTCAAACCAGTAATACTCATTCTAGTTGTTGCCAGTATGTTGAACACGAGTTTAAAGTCACAATATGTAGTCAGTCTGACAGCAATGACTACATATTCAAGTTTACTGATTAGTTTTTTCATTAAAAAATAACCCTCATCCAACCTCTCAAGCCAATTACAGAGCACTTTAAATATAGATTTTAAAAAGAATTAAAAATATTCAAACCTGCTGTTATCCAGAAATGAAACTCTAAGCACCAAAAAGTGCATGCATGTTTAGAAAAAAGTATGACTATCTTTGTTTAAAAATCCAGCGCTGGGTTAGCTGAAATGTTCATTTGTTTCCTTGATTCAAATACTGTAAGAGGATAAATTTTATGAAAAAAAAATTGGGAGTTTTCTTACCAATTCTTGGATCTGGATAAGGCACTTCATGTAAATTAGTATAAAATGCTTCTAGTTCAAATGGTTCTTTCTTGTGGAAAGTAATGACTTTTGAGAATGGGGCAGGATGGTTCTTACAGAATACTTCGCATTCCCTAAAATGGAGTGGGAAAACAGTTAAACAGAGAGCTTCCTACGAACCTAACGATAGAATGCATCTCATTTTTAATTCATAAGCAGCAATTTTAAAGACCTCTGCACAAATGTTAAGAAGAAGAATGATTGGTTTTGCTACAAATAAACATACAATGAATTTTGACAGGTTTATGTCTCAAAGTTTTAGAATGCCTGTCATAGTAACAGATAATTCTCTCTTACTAAAATGGGAAAAATTACCTGAGAGGAGGTATATTTTAAGGCCAATTTATAGGGAATTTTGTTGTTGTTGTTCACATCTGAGAACCAAATTCTGTCGATTAGTTTCCAAAACACTTATCTTATGTAACCCTTTTTATTCTAGCTCCCTTAAAAACACTTTTAATTGGAAATAATTTCAAACTCAAAGAAAGGTGCAAAAATAAAACAAGGATAAGGAACACCTGTATACCTTTTACCTAAATTTTTTACTGTTTTAACCTATTTATTTCATCATTTTGAGTACACACACACTGCTGCATGTGTGCATTTTTTTCTGAATAAGCTGTGGGTGTTACATACATGATGGCTCTTCACCTAAAAATTTTTAAAGGTATTCTTCCTAACAGGTACATTCTCTAAGATAACCATAGTACAGCTATCAACTTTATAAACTTTAATACTTTAATCTATAAACCAAATTCCAAGTTTTTCAGTTGATGTAACTAAGTGCTCTTTATAGTATTTTCTCTTCTCTAGTACTGGAAGCTTTAAAAGCTACAAAAGCAATTCCTATTTTTTAAACAGTGTAACAGAAACGACTTATAACTACTGTTCATAGTGACCCAGAAACTCACTCTTTAATATTATGTATACCATCACCCGGAGAAGGCAATGGCAACCCACTCCACTACTCTTGCCTGGAAAATCCCATGGACGGAAGAACCTGGTGGGCTGCAGTCCATGGGGTCACCACGAGTTGGGCACGATTGAGCGACTTTACTTTCACTTTTCACTTTCCTGCATTGGAGAAGGAAATGGCAACCCACTCCAGTGTTCTTGTCTGGAGACTCACAGGGACAGGGGAGCCTGGTGGGCTGCCGTCTATGGGGTCGCACAGAGTTGGACACGACTGAAACGACTTAGCAGCAGCAGCAGCAGCTGTTATCCACGGAATTTTCCAAGCAAGAATACTTTTTATATTTCTATACTATGATTTATATTTGAAACTGAGAATGTTCTACTTTTATAATAAAATATTAACTAAAAAGATGCCATTCATGGTTTATGGATATGTTGTGTTTTTACATTCTCCTTGTTTCTAAAATACTATTTTAAAGTGTTTGGCAAGTTTAAGGAGTATAAATTCCTCCAATTTAGAAAAGTAGGTTCAATTTCTTATTTATGATAAGCTCTAACCAAGGCTTTAAAAGTAACCTACCCAGTTCCATCTTCAAAAGAGGTCTTCCATCTTAATGTGATTGAATAGGGAACAATGTCTGTTATGGAGAATTCACGCACTTTAAACGCTGGTGAGAGAATCGCACACTGAAAACAAGACGGACACCGTATTCAAATCAGAAAGCACCAAACACGCCCCATGCTACCACGACTGCTCAACAAAGTTGTTACAATAAAACTTCCATTTAAAAATTTCTGGGTTTTGGTAATAACTAGGTAAAATTTTAAAGTGTCAGAGCATTCTTTCTGTAACTTTACAAAAATGGATGTAAAATATTTTTTAATCTCAAAAAAATAATTTTAAATAGGAATAATCATAAGAATTCATAAAATAAATGTCTTTCAGTGTAATTACTGACATACAGTCTTATGATAGTTTAAAACAAATGGGATAGACATAACCTTTATTTATCAGGAATAATTTCAATTTAATTTTAGCTTATTGTTGAGTGGTTGGACCAGATAATAAATTAAAAAGTTCTTTGAGACCTATCACCATATTTCTGGCAAAATATACATTCTAAAATTTAAAAAAAGACTAATAATCATACCTGTAATGCACATCCTCTCGCAACAGCTTCATCAGCATTTAATGTGGTACTTATGTCTTTAAGAAAGAATTTAGTGATTTGTTCTTTCACAGCAGGAATTCGTGTTGCTCCCCCTACAATTTCTATACTACTTATGTCTTCACGTTGTAAGTCTGGAAAACAAAATGTTTCAAAAATTAAGACAGTCTTTATAAAAAAATGTGAGCAGTAGACTCTGGAAAGTACTTTTTTTAAAAAATGAATTTTTTAATTTACTCAAAACAAGGTAGAACAAAAAAATAAAAATAAATTTGGAAAAAAGCAAAATTTAATAGATATTAATTGTCCACACATCAGGCACTGTACTTGGTCCAGATGATGAAGTGACCACAAAACAGACAAGCACCTCATGGACTTTAAAGAAACTTCAGAGTCCTTCATTTTTTCTAACTTCTACCTTACAAATCCCCATAGGAACTAGTTTTTAATTGATCACGAAAAACCTTAACAAAAAAGTCATGTTCTCACTTCTACTTCTGATCAATCTTTAAAAACTTACTTATAAAAATACCTTCAAATATAATTAGCATTAGTTTTATGATGTAAACAGAATAGGCCAGGATGAGTTCTCATAAACTCTGATGTCTAGTGGCCCTTGTCTTATGAAAAAAGAATGAGTTATAAATGCCTTCTCTAAAATAAGAAATACTAATCTTCAACAAAAAGCAGATGAATTTTTTATTGCTTTTACAATTTTCTACCCCATTAAAGTTACACCATGGTACACTTTCCATGGTTAGTTCAGTAACTTTCACTTACTAGCTTGTTCCATTACTGCTTTTAATGGTGGTTCAACTCTGGCTAAGAGGGAAGCACATAATTGTTCAAATTGAGCCCTGTGGGAAATGAAATAAAAGTCATTATTTGGGGATATAAAAATTGAGCATATCTTCTGAAATAACAGAATGAAAAAAATTAGACACGATTCAAACATAAAATGAGGAAACACTTTTCAATTGAAAACATACATAGTACCTGTTCATTTTACTAGAAACATCAAGGTCATTCATGAAACACTCAATGTTCAGTGGAAGATCTGATGCATTTGCACTCATTAGCTTCTTTAGTTTTTCACATTCCTGATATAAACGCAACAAGGCCCGAGAGTTTTCTTTCACATTTATCTTATATTTTGTCTTGAACTCTTCACAGAAGTAGTCTACTAAAACCTCATCAAAGTTCCTGCCACCCAAATATGGATCAAAGGTAGTAGACAAGACCTGTTTAATTGAAAAACCAGAAGTGAATTTTCAGAAATATTACATGCTTTCAAAAACTAAACCGCCCTGAAAAAACCTTTTAAAATTCAAAGAACTTTTCAAAAATCATAGGCATGCCAAATTTGGAATCACTTATATTAATTATCATATTTAGCCAACATATTTATCCATTCTGAATTATCTGCTTTATAGATCTATATACCTATGTGAGAGAGTAACTTTAATTCTGAGATAGTTAAGTTGCAATGACTAAAAGTTCATTATCTCACATCCTTTGGTTCTACAATAGCATGGAAGAGACTGGCCAAAAACCAAGTTTAAGAGAGCAAAGAAAGAGTCCTAAGTATGTAACAAAAGACAAAACAGCCAAGAGGAGCCAATCCAAAGATTAAATATAAAATATTTTAATTGATCAAACATGGAACTCTGCTCAGTGTTATGTGATAGCCTGGGTGGGAAAGGAGTTTGAGGGAGAAATGATAAATATTTATGTATGGCTGAGTCCCTTCAGTGTTCACCCAAAACTGTCACAACATTGTTAATTGGCTATACTCCAATACAAAATAAAAAGTGCTTAAAAAAATTTTTTTAAATATTTTACAAATTTACAAATCAAGAATTACTGCCCCCATTCCCCTAAAAAGCCAGACTATTTTTATAAACATATAGAAGGAACAAAAGAGCATGTAAGGAACCAAAAAATAAAATAAAAAAAAAAAATGAAGAGGAGAGACAAGAATTTAATAAGCTTGTTGAACAACTGGCCTCAGCTAAGCAGTCTAATAGAAAAGGAGCAGAAAAGTCGCACACTTCAATGATATAGCTCTTGAAAACCATACAGCCAAGACATCTAGTCTATCTCCCTGTGGCAGAGGGTAAAAATAACTAGTTATAATAGTCACTGCCAGAAAGTAGAGCTCCACATGGTATGATTCAGCCTTTTTCATAAAGATGGGTGGTGGAATAGTGGTAAACATCAGTAGGATGTGAGCATAGTCTGACTGGGATGTCATCCCACAGATTAACATGGAGAATCAATGGACAGACTCCTATATTCACTATGAGTAATTTCCCTTTAATTTTCTGATTACAAGGATGTTAATATAGTAATATAAACTTCAACACAAAAGGCTCTAAAAGGTTCTGGGTAACCCAAAGCATTTAATCTTCTGAGCAAATTCTATACATGTGTATAACAGGGACAGAAAGTGTGTGTAAGTCTGGGTAAGATAATTAATGTAGAAATGAATATAAAACCAAACAAAGGGTATAAGAAGATAAGTGCGGAGAGGTAAGTAACACCCACTGTAGAAAATTTTGATTAGGATTCCTGGATTGAAAGGTTTCTAAAGACAATGGGAATCATTTTAGAAAATGTTTCTTATGTACATTTATAAATATGTAACTTATGCTCCCTGATAGGTGACAAACACCTCGACACTAATAAAAAATAGCTAACACACAATAACTGCAATATGGTATTCCAAGTATCTTATAAACTTTAATTCATTTCATCCTCAAAAATTCTATGAGATACTTACTGATAATATCCTCAGGTGAGAAGCCTGAGAGTTGGAGAGGTTACATAACTTGCTCAAGGCTCACAGTTTTTTGTTTTTTTTCACAGTTTTTAAGTGGCAGAACCAGGGTTTAAATCCATGCATTAGGGTTCTCGATTTAGTCTTATATGCTCTTAACCACTAAAATTAAATATAGCAAATCATTTATTTACTTACTTTAAGTTTTCCTTTGTTAAAAGCACAAACCGAGACCTGGTAGGCAGAATGTCCCATATCAATAAATATTACATTTCTTGGTTTCTCATCTAATGGAGGAAGATCCTGTTTATAAATTCCATATGCTAGTGCAACTATGCAAGACAAAGAATGAGATTAACTCCAGGAAAGCAATTGCTTGGAAAACAATAAATAAGTCATGTTGATACTACATTTTAGTTACCTTCAAAGTAAAATAGTTTTTGATAATTTGGTTAATGTTTTATTTTTTCTACCCTATAATGTTAATGACTCAAGAGTCAATGCAAGACATGTTTAATCCCTGCCAAAATGCTCTACTCCAAAATGATAAGCTTATAACATATCAGGACATAACAGAGTTATTAAAAAAATAAATGCTTTGTACTAATTAGAAAAAAACTATAATAATATTTTAATGACAGTGATTTTTAAATTGCAAACTGCTCACCTGCAGTAGTTTCATTCATTAACCTTAAACAATTTAAACCTGCAACTTGGGCTGCAGCCATCACAGATCTCCTCTCAGCATCAGTGAAAAAGCTAGGAATCTGGTATTGCGAAACAATAATCAAGTGTATTAGTTCATTGTAATACATTATATTTAAACATTTCATCAACTGAAAATGAAAATAATTACATCAAAACTTATGTAAAGTAATAAATGGTGTTCCAATAAATGAGAAAAAATACTGTTTTTTGTTTTAGGTTGTGCTTAGTTGCTCAGTTGTGTGTGATTCTCTGTGACCCCATGGACTGTTGTCAGGCTCCTCTGATTATGGGGATTCTCCAGGCAAGAATACTGAAGTGGGTTGTCATGTCCCCTTCCAAGGGATCTTCCCAACACAGGGATCGAACCCAGATCTCCCGCATTGCAGGTAGATTATTGTCTGAAGTACCAGGGAAGCCCCCCCTTTTTTTCTTCAAGGTTGGCAATTGCTATATCAAAAGTTTTGACCTAAAGTATGAACACAAATTTATTTATTTATTTATTTATTTTTCATTTATTTTTATTAGTTGGAGGCTAATTACTTTACATCATTGCAGTGGGTTTTGTCATACATTGAAATGAATTAGCCATGGATTTACATGTATTCCCCATCCCGGTCGAACACAAATTTAAAGCAATTAGTAAAATAGAGTAATACTGTAGAATTTCAAAAATATGTTAATCTAAATCCATCTCATGTTGGTCTATTCTATAAAAATACATATTTGTTTATATTTAATAATAAAACATTAACCCAAGAGTCTGTTAAAATGAGATTCGTTAAATATGTTATATCCACATAAAGAAATTTGATGTGGATGTTAGAATCAGATCGATCTGAACTGTCATGGAATAGTATCTTTATTACATTAAAATAAAAGGGGGTGCACATATAGCATTTCATTTCTGTGTGTATGTACTACTAGAAGAATACACTCCCAAATGTTTACAATGGTTATATTTCAAAGGGAGGGCAAACTATATTGCAGGGGACTTACGATGAGCATGTGTTTCTTTATAAATCACCAAAAAACATTATGTTTCTATTAAAAATAAATTCATAATTTAAAACATAATTAAGATTACATATACTTAGTATTATCAAAGTAAGAAGCACTTTCCTTTGGTCTATAAAAAACTGAGTACTTTCATGTACAAAATGATTTGGGGTTCTTCCAATTTCAAGTTAACTGCTTTCTGAATTTAGAAATTTCATTTAATAGATAATCACACTAAAAACTTGAATTTTGATAAGTCAGTATATCCTGATTTTGGTACTACTGTTCTGGTACAAATGTACATTATAAGCTATGATTCACTTAATATTCACTGAGAACTTATGTACCAGGTACTTTTTTTAGCCATTAGGGATAGGACAGTACATAAAACAGAGAAAAATTCCCCTTGTATAGCTCACATGGGTTTATTGCACTAATTACAAAGTTAATAGTGGCCAAGAAATTCACAATGCCATATTGATACTAATTTCTGACATATAATAACTAAATTCACTGAAGAGTTCATAATATTCTATTCTTCTGATGACATAAGGCTTGAACTTCTGTAGCCAAGTTTAACAGTACTAAGAATATATTCACATTTAGGTGACAACATATAACTTAAAACCTGGTTATCAATATATAGTGGGATCTCAAGAGATAAAAGGGTAAATGATTAAATGTTTTGTTAAGAATCCTTAAAAGACAGATCTTTTCTTTCTGAAAAATACTGCATGATCTAACCTACAGATGGAATCTGAAGAAGTCAAACTCATAAGATAGAATAAAATGGTGGTTACCAGGGATAGGAAAGTGGGGAAAATCATAAGCCAATGGTCAAAGTATATAAAATTTTATTTATGTAGAATAAGTTTTAGAAATCTAATGTTAGCAATGGTTACAGTTAATAATACTGTATTATATGCTGAAATTTGCTAAGAAAGTATATCTCAGGTACTCTTGCCAAACAAACACAAAAAAGGAACTATAGGAGATAGATTATTAATTTGTTTGACTACAGTGATCATTTTCATCATGTATATCAAAGCACCATGTTTTTTACTTTATATACAAACTATTTTTACCTTAAAAGCTCGAGTTGGTTTTTGAGGGGTGATAAACACGTTCTGTGATTCATGGGGTCGCAAAGAGTCGGACACGACTGAGCGACTAAACTAAACTGAACTGAAACATGTTTATTACACTGATTGTGATGATGTTTCACAGGTATATGAATATGTCAAAACTTGTATACACATACATATGTATAGAAGTATACATGTTAAATACATCTAATTGATCATTTTTAAAAAAGGATCTTTTCTTTCAGATATAGAATATACATAATCTCAAATTTCCAACTGGGCATTTTCAACCTTTGATGTAAGTGTTAAGGTTCCCTGGAGCTGGGATGTTTAAGTACCACCTAGAAAGATTCTTAAGGGTAATGGCAGGTACAGCAATCACCAACTAATCACATACATTGATTTTTTGTTTTTTAAAGATTAGCTGATTATCATAATTAAGTTATGGGAAACTCAATCCTGAACTTCACCAAATGAAATTTTTTAACATAAAAGTAAAAATTCGAGGTTATTTACTAGATAATGGAAGAAAAACATTTCAATATAACATTAATACACTGGAAAATATGATTCAAGAATGTTCAGGACTGAGGTAAAACTTACTGAAATCACACAGTCAGCCACTGGTTTCTTCAAAGCATTTTCTGAAGTCTCTTTAAGCTTAGCCAACAGCATCCCAGTAACCTGCTCAATTGCAAAAGGTCTTTCTTCTTCTAGGTATCGCACCTGAAGCCCAAGTGGAGATATTTAATAAGAGTCATTTATTCATCTAGTATTTAATTAAAAAGGCAGAGTCCTTACTCAATGAACTTATATAGCAAAACGATGGCTCTAGTATCATCATATATCTCTGCAGTTCCAGTGCATTACTCATAGTATTACAACCAAAAAATCCTCAAGAGTGTCTTTACCTGCTCCATATCCTCATCTCCCACAAAAGCAAGTTTTATCATTTACTATTCTTCTTGTAAACAAATAACGGGAAAGAGATCAAATTATCTTTCTTTTGGAAGTTAGAACTCTCCTTGGGTTTAAAATGAAAGCTTTAGTAATACAGTTTTGTGAAAAGAAAATGAGAACACAGGAAAAAATTGTTATTTAAAAAAAGAAATTTTATATACATTACTCCAAGGCTTCAGGGGATAATTAAACATTAGAGATGCATACACAGAATTTTTAAATCTTAAAAAATTACAATTTCATACACAGGATTGACTAGCTTGAATTTAAGCACATAAAATGAAACTTTACAGTGCTTCTTGACCAAGGAATACTATGCTTTATTCAAATAAGCAAACTCTTTCATAATGACAATCACCATATTTATAAGCAATACAAAGTTAACTTAGAACCCAACAGTAACTACAACTAATTTACAGAAGAAAAGACTATGTCTTTCATCTCTGTATCCCCAAGAACAAATAATTTTATACTAAAATACTAAACTTTGGAAGAGCTTTAAACAACTTCTCAGGCAGTACAATATATGTATTTATTTAACTGTGTAAATATGAATAATGATATAAAATTTACTATGAAACAGACCTAAACTTGATATCCATTTGTTCCCAAATCAATTTACAGGTAAGTTCAAAACCAAGGATTACATGAAATTACATGAAGTTTAAACACAAGAAGAAATCAAGCACACCAAAATAAGGGAAAATGAATCAAGTACCATGTGTCTTAGTTTGATTATAGGAGGCACAACAATACAGAATTTTTTTGAAGAATATAAAAGTTAGATGAAATAAATATCAAAGCATATTCAAACAAATGTCAGAAAAAATAAATGGATAAAATGCTTGAGGCATTGAATGCTAAAGATCTTCAGTCTTTAAAGGATGAAGAAACTTAGTTCAACGCACGGTTGATTGATGTTTTCAAAGCCTCTTCAACTAGCTTACATGCACTCACTATAACTGCATAAAAATTATATCACTTAAAAATTATGTTTTGACTTTCTATAAAAATTTTGTTTTTAATCAAACTACTCACAAAGCATAATTTATAATTTTCTTTTTAAAGAATAAAACACTTAAGTAGTTTAGAATAAAACTGTTCCACACAGTCATTAACCGGAAGTTATCATATCTAAAGGACATGTAAACGTTACTCTTTATCACATTTATTGCTATCATAACCCATCAGCTTTCTAGTCAGTACCTCTTGATCCACAAATTTCACCTAAAATATGACTTTCCAATTTTCAATTTGTCCTTAATCACTTATCGTGTCTTCTTTGAACTACTGTTAAGTCTCATGTCTCCTTATTACAATTCATCATCCATCCTGTAGTCAGAACCCTCTTCTAAACATGGAAATATGTGCACCTTAAAACATATATATCAATTTGAAAATCAGCTACTAAAATTTTTAGCTGTGAGATATAAATCTTATTGCATAAAGTTTACCCTTCTGAAGTATACAATTAAGTGGTTTTACTATGTTCAAAGTTGTATACTGATTACCACTCAATGTAGTACATTTTCATCACCTTAAAGAGAGTGTCCCATTAGTAGCAGCAGCAGTAGATACACCCATTCCTAACAATTAAGAAGTAAAGTTACCCTTAATTCCTAACAACCATAAGTCTATTTTCTGTGTCTACTGATTTGCATTGATTCTGGAGAGCCACACAAAAGAAATCACAAAATATGTGGCCTTTTATAACTGTTTTTTTCCCCCAGTTAGCATGTTTTCTAGGTACTTTCTTTTTATGGCCAAATAATACATGCCACTGGATAACTATACCACATTTTGTTCATACGCTCATCAGCTGGTAGACACTTGGGTTGTTCCCACTTCTTGGCTATTATAAATAATGTTATTATGAACATTAGTGTACAAATTTTTGTGTGCACAAGTGGTTCAATTCTCTTATGTATATATACCTACTAGGTAGAACTGCTAAGTCATATAATCTATCTGTTTGGGGGTATTCTGTTAGTTTTTGTTAACCAATCTAAAACTTTCTGTCTCAGGATGTAGAAGTAAAAACCTAGAATCTATCTCTTACTTGGAAGAAGAGTTTGTTTTAATACTCCTAATACAAGATTCTTCTAAATTAGAGCAAACTCATTATAGCAGTTAACATACTTTGGGGTCTATTTTTCTAAATCACATATGCCTCTGTCTTTGTCCTTTAAAAATGGTTCACCTCGAAAAGTTCTCCAACAATAATACCTTTTTCTTGACAATAAAAGTATCTGGATTAAAAAGATTATTATTTTAAGTCATATTTTTTTTTTGCATACACTAAAGCACACTACAAAAACTGCCTGTTTCTTGGTATGTATTTCACCTAAAGGAAAAAAGTTAAAATATTTTTAAAGTATTTAAAAATAGGCAATATTACTGCTTTTGGTTTTTTAATTTGAACAAATGCTTGTATTCTGGGAATATAAACTTACCTTAACCCCTGCACTTCCATTTGGCATCTTCTGCAGCTCATAGGGAAGCCTGATCCTTTCAGTTTGCACAATAGGATCATCAAAAGATCGCCCATGAAGTTTTTTGAAACCATGAATTGTATTTCTTACATTCGTGACTATCTGTTGGCAGTAAACACTTTTATCAATTACTGAATTAATGCAAAGTAAACTACGCTAGTATTTGAGAATCACCAAGTCTCCTTATCCTATACATCTATAAAAGTTCAGAATTACACACTATCATTTAATTATCTGGTTTCTAATTGACAGGAGTCCCTTGAATAGCAAGGATGTCAAACCAGTCATCCTAAAGGAAATCAACCCTGAATATTCATCAGAAGGACTGATGTTAAGCTGAAGCTTCAATACTTTAGCCACCTGATATGAAGAGCCAACTTATTGGAAAAGATGCTGATGCTGGCAAAGACTGAGGGCAGGAGGAGAAGGGGGCGAGAGAGGATGAGATGGTTGGATGGCATCTACTCAATGGATATGTGCTTGAGCAAACTCCAGGAGACAAATAAGGACAGGGAAGCCTGGCGTGCTGCAGACCATGGGGTTACAAAGAGTTAGACACAACAGAGCAACTGGACAAACTGATAGAAACCACTATCTCCTACCCTTGGAATGTTAAAATCAAAATTAACTGTCTTTTAAAAAGAACAAAACTTCAAAACTTCTCAAATACAATGAAAATCTACCGACAACTCAATTATTTGGTTTTCTTCAAGACTTTTAGGCTAATGAATTAGTATTTTTGATTTCTTTCCACTTTCATTTGTGTTTTTATTAATATTTAAACTATGTCTTTTATCACCCTGTTTTTCTTTTACACTAAATATCTTCTATGGCCTAGGCTAGTAAATTAAAAATCCTTCCATATAGCATGGTGCTAAGTTAATGTGTCTTCATTTGTAAATAGCGTGTATTTTGGCAAAGTAGTTTTTAGTTCAAACTACAGAACATCACTGAGATCCAGTTGTTGCCCTCTTAGTGACCTTCAATTATAGGATGAAAACTACAGGGAAGCTGAATTACTATGTTTATCTCTTTAGCTTTTTAGGAAAAATAACTTATAGTTCACTTCCTTCAGGACTCTAAGCCATACGATATCTTAGGAGATCAGCCAGAATATGAGAAGTAACCTTTAGTGAAGGGGTCATTTTGGCACAAACATTTGGTTATGTGCAGTATGAAAATGGAAAAGGAGGAAAAAAAACATATTCACACTCATTTATTCCTGGATAAATGAGTCAATTATTTCTACAAAGTCATGAAAAAAAATAGCTCCATTAAACAGTTATTTTGTAATAAAGAAAAGACCCAGGTATATATTAAAATGTAAAAAATAATTGTTAAGGGCATTTGGTTCATGGCAATAAACAAAGTCTAAGAAAAATGAACCTGTAGCATGGAATGTTAAAGTATACGTTTTATGCCAAAGGATTTCAGAAGCCTAGAAATATGAATACTTAAACAGATTCCATGTAAAGTGGCAGCCACAGAGAATTAACTCTGGAAACTAGTTTCTCCAATTTTTTCCACCTTCTTTAACAAAGACATCATTCACTTGCTGTAAAAGTATGTATTCTAGATAGCATATGCCTCATTAAAAGTGACCATACAAGGAAAACCTGATGCCATCTGATAGCATAACCTAACCTCACAACTAATATTTTTTAAAAAATAAAATTCAAGAAATATTTTACAATCGAAAGCAAAATATATTTAGTAAGATACAAAGATATTAGGATCTGTCAACTTCTTTACCCTCTTTTTTCACTTTTAATTATATAAACTGGGAGCTTAGCTGCCATTATGAAGTTAATTCTTCCTGTAGGTCAAAACATCTACATTAACAACTCACCTGGCTCTTAGCTGCATTTCCAATGGCTCGTGTTCTTGATCCCAAAGATATACACGCTCTGAACAGGGAAAAAAGAAAAAGTGTTCCCAAGGTATTTTTATATTAATTTACTACTACTGTGCTTCTCTTTATACAAAAATGAATTTAAGGATGAATATAATCATGTAGTATTCAAAAAATAGGTTATTGAAATCAGAATTTTAAGTATTTTTAAACTTTCCTAAGTAATAGATTAGTTGTCAGAATAAAGGTTAAAATTTTTTAAAATGTGCTAATAGTTGGCAACACTATATTGGACCCAAAATTATTTTATTGGTCCCCAAATTATTTTTCAAAATTTTCAGTAAGTCTATGACTTGGATCTAAATCCTGGCTCTGCCACTTAACAGCTGAGTAACCTTGTAGTATAACCATTATTTGCCTCAGCTTCGCATCTGGAAGACAGTGTTAATAATACCTACTCAGAGAGGTGTTTGAGGATTTAGTGAGTGACTATAGGTAAATGATCTCTGGAATCAGAGATCAAATTGCCAACATCTGTTGGATCATTGAAAAAGCAAGAGAGTTCCAGAAAGACATCTACTTCTGCTTTTAATGACTATGCCAAAGCCTTTGACTTTGTGGAAAATTCTTAAAGAGATGGTAATACCAGATCACCTGACTTGCATCTTAAGAAATCTGTATGCAGGTCAGGAAGCAACAGTTACAACTGTTGGAACAACAGACTGGTTCCAAATAGGGAAAGGAGTACATCAAGGCTGTACATTGTCACCCTGCTTATTTAACTTACGTGCAGAGTACATCATGAGAAACGCTGGACTGGATGAAGCACAAGCTGGAATCAAGACTGCTGGGAGAAATATCAATAACCTCAGATATGCAGATGATGCCACCCTTATGGCAGAAAGCAAAGAAGAACTAAAGTCCTCTTGATGAAAGTGAAAGAGGACAGTGAAAAAGTTGGCTTAAAGCTCAACATTCAGAAAACTAAGATCATGGCATCTGGTCCCATCACTTCATGGCAAATAGATGGAGAAACAGTGAGAGACTTTATTTCTTGGGCTCCAAAAACACTGCAGACGGTGACTGCAGCCATGAATTAAAAGACGCTTGCTCTTTGGAAGAAAGTTATGACCAACCCAGACAACATATTAAAAAGCAGAGACATTGCTTTGCCAAAAAAGGTCCATCCAGTCAAAGCTATGGTTTTTCCAGTAGTCATGTATGGATGTGAGAGTTGCACTATATAGAAAGTTGAGCACCAAAGAATTGATGCTTTTGAACTGTGGTGTTGGAGAAGCCTTTTGAGAGTCACTTGGACTGCAAGGAGATCCAATCAGTCCGTCCTAAAGGAAATCAATCCTGAATATTCATTAGAAGCTGAAACTCTAATACTTTACCCACCTGATGTGAAAAACTGACTCATTTGAAAAGACCCTGATGCTGGGAAAGATTGAGGGCAGGAGCAGAAGGGGATGACAGAGGATGAGATGGTTGGATGGCATCACCGACTCAATGGACATGAGTTTGAGAAAACTCCAGGAGTTGGTGATGGACAGAGAGGCCTGGAGTGCTGCAGTCTATGGGGTCACAAAGAGTCAGACACGACTGAGCAACTGAACTGAACTGATAGGTAAATGAACAATGTTGTTTTTTATTACTGCATTTAAATGTATTAATAATTCTGCTTATAAAAGTGTAGAGTACCATTTTTATCAAAAAACCATTCCATGCTGTGATTCAAGAAAATGTTTCCATGGTCTCAGTGTTAATTACAGGTTATAATTCAGCTGTAATTTATTCAACCAACAAATACTTACAGACATTGTGTTTATACTAGCTACAATCCAATGTGTTTGGAGAATTCAGTCTATCAAAAAAATCAACATATAAAATTATGAATGACACCAGCAAAAAAAGAGAATAATCACTTGTCAATAATAGAGTTTAGATTTCTTAATTAAGACTTGAAAGAAAAGAAAGCATTTTAATTTGTATCTGGTTTTGTGGAAAAGGACATTACCAGAATATAGGTATACTGTCTGTTCTCAATATAACAGCCTGAGTGATCCTTTTAAAGACAGAAAGTCCTCTGCTAAAAAAAGGACTGTTATTTATTAGCTGTCTCCCCAACAGCTAATAAAGCCCATGGTTTGTTTTGGAGCTGCTCTACCCTGTAATTTCAATCTAGGCACAGAAGTCTCCTTGCTATTTCTACAGTAGGGCAAGCACATTTCTGCCTCAGGGCCTTTGTACATGCTATTCTCTCTGGGACACAGACCTTGAGCTCTCACTTCATGTCTCTGGCTCAAATATCAGCTTATTAGAAAAACCTTTTCTATCTTACGTAAACAACATTCTTGCTCCTCCTCAATGCACACATCTTCTGTTTCCTCAATTTTATTTTTTTTCCATAAATATATCACCATCTGATACAATCTCTTTTTTTTTAACTGACTATATCTCCACATTAGGGTGTGAACTCCGTGTGGGTAGATAATGTTGTCTCATTGCCTTGATGTTCAGTATCCAGGATGGTAGCCACCAGCCAGTAAAATTTAAATGACTAAAATTAAAAATTCAGTCACATTTCAAGAGCTCAACAGCCAATTTTTGAGTGTTTCAAAGCTACAGGTGGCTACTGTATATGCAAAGAACAGAAAGTACATACAACATATACTGTAGAATAGGAAGTTCTACTGGATAGCACTGCTTTAGGTGTCTGGTACATAACCAAGGTACTTACTGAACGAATGGAAAAATGGCTCCTAAGGGTAATGCTCATTTGGAGACTAGGAAGAATGCAACGTCACTAGTTTCATAGGACATTTTGGTAGATCTATCGGGGCCAGATTATATAGTGTATTAAATGATATATTGTAAATGTGAAATATATTTCATTAGGTTTCAAGAGATCATTAAAAGCTTTTGAATAGCAGAAAGAACATTCCATGCTTTTATATATATGTGTGTGTGTGTATATACATATATGTATATGTGTTATATATATATAAACTGAAAAGGAAAGATCTCAGAACAGTTCTTTTCAAGGGCTGAACAAGATCCTATTACATCGCAGACACTGGACCCTCAGGAAAGGCAAGCAGCTGAGTCCGTCAATTTAACAGACGGATGCTAAGTATCTACTACCCGTCTGGCACTCTGTTGGGTAGTAGGGCCATAATAATGAGGGGGAAAGTCAGACATCATATTGGCTCCCTTGGAACTTAACATTGCTATAGACTCACCCAAATGTACAAAGTAAACTAGATGGTACACAAATGGGAACACATGACAATGAAAAGTCGATAATAACAGGAATTGACCTAAAAGAGGAGGATCAGGAAAGGCCTACCTAAGAAAATGATGAGATTTGAAAGAAAAGTAAATTTCTTTCACTAAGAAATTTATCATTTATCATTTAAGAAATTTATCATTACTGAGTAAATGATAGATTCAACTAGGTGAGTGTTTGGCAGAGGTCATTTAGACTACAGGAATGGGAGTAGGGCTAGAAGTCATCAAAAATCTTTTATCAGGATAGTGGCAGGTGAGATAGAAGGAAAAGGAATTAAGAGATTTTAGGAGTTAAAACTCAAAGAACTTGGTGATGAACTAGATCTTCAGAGAGCAACAGGCGGCCACCAGACACACATGGCTATTACGCACATGAAATGCAGCTAGTCTGTATAAATAATGCACGCTAACTGACTACACCGCTGGGGCCCCAGTGTGGCTAGTCTGAATTGAGATGTACTTACTTTAAGTATGAAACAATCTTATTAATTTAAAAACACTGATTACATGCTGAAATAAGGTTTTGAATATACTGAGTTAAATCAAGTATATTAAAATTAATTTTGTCTGTATTTTTATTGAAACTATTAGAATATTTTAAATTATGTACCTGGCTCATATACATTGTATTTATTTTTACTGAACAGTGCTGGAATAGGTAATAGGAAGAGGTAAGTAACAATAACAACGTTCAGGTTTCCAGTTTGCATTGAAGGGTAGATAAGTTGTGCCATGCAATAAGACCAAAAATGCTGTAAGAGAGACCTGTTTAGGGATGGACCAACACAAGTTCTACTTTGGATATGTTGAGATTGAAGTGCCTTTGATACATCCAAGGAGATATTTATTTAGAACTAAATGTTAAATGTGATGAACTGATATACGGTGTAATCCAAGTTACTTTTCTTTAATTGTGATCTGGTAAAAACAGGTAAATAGGATATATTAAGAACCAGTGGTTCAGGTGACACCTTCATTTTTCTTGTAAGTAACTCCTTGATTCAACATAGTCTCTGCCAGAGTAGACTTTGCATGCCTGATACAGAATCCACGTAGATGGCTGGCATTCCATTCTAAACTCATCAGAGAAAATATGGACTTGCCATCTCTTGGCTAGCTTTATAACCCATTTTGCTTTCAATTCCATTATCTGGATACACTTTAAACTTTTAATTTTTCAATACAAGGCTATCGTTACTTTAATGCACAGAAAATCTTTCAATACAAGGCTATCGTTACTTTAATGCACAGAAAATCTTAGGTTGATTCTCAAGAGTTCGACTTCTGTTAAAACACTTAGATCCAAGCAAGACTGATGAAACTATCATTTACTGCTGTATTCACTGTATTTGCTGTATTCAGTGCTGTATTCACTGAAATATGTTTTATGCCTGTATCTTTTCATGAAGAAAGCTACAGTTATCATCATCAGACATTCTCTTTAGGTTAAAAGCAGACAACTTGTAAAGTTCAAAAATTTAATGTTATAACTTGGAAATATCCAGTTTCAAAACAGAGAAAACTCTCCTCACATACTGCACGCATGCTAAGTTGCTTCAGTCATATCTGACTCTGCGACCCCATGAACTGTAGCCCCCAAGACTCCTCTGTCCATGGCATTCTCTAAGCAAGAATACTAAAGTGATTGCCATTTCCTTCTCCAGCTAAAGGTCCTTCTCACATACTAAAGGTCTTCAAATTCCCTCCAATTTTTTCCCCCCAAAGATTCTAGAACACAGCCATTAAATAAATATCTGTCAA